AAGGGTAGGTGGAGCGACGGGTGGTGAGATGACATGATGCCGGAAAAGGGAGACATAGTGTGTAAAGGTGAGTGCGGGGGCAGATTGGGAGGCGATAGACAAGGCGGCCAGTGGAGGTATGAATGAGATCGCAATAGGAAAAGTGGGCAGGAAAAATGGCGGTAATGCCGGCTTTTTGGAGATCATGAAGAGAAATAAGGTTGTGACGAAGAGTGGGAATGTGGAGGCCGGTGATAGTGCCGGAGGGAAAGAGGGGACACGGAAGAGTAGAGGAGTGTGTGCATGGGATCGAGAAGCTAGAATCAGCGCCATGAACAGTGGAGGGGAGAGATAGTGTTTTGAGAATGCCAGCGTCCTTCAGGGCACTGACGGTGGCCCCGCTATCGAGGACAAAGTCCAAGGTGAGCGGGGAAGGAGACGCAGAATACTGGAAGTCACTGTTATTAAGAACAGAGGGATACATGGAGGTGGTGCTAGGCAAGGGAGAAGCTAGCTGACCAAGAAAGCTAGAGTATGACTCAGCTGGGGAGGTATGGGCGGCGGTGGCGGCAGAACCGAAGCCAAGAGGTTGCTGCTGCCAGGCGGCAGTTGCTGCTGCTGCTGCTGCTGCTGCTGCTGCCGCTGCCGCTGCTGTGGCGGCTGCGCCTCCCCCACCTCCCCAGGGCGGCTGCTGTGGCTGCTGGTGCGGCTGCGGCTGTGGGGGCAGCTGCGGGGGCTGCTGCAACTGCTGTGACTGAAGATGCTGCAAAAACTGCTGGAGTTGCAGTTGAGGAGAGGGAGTGGTGAGGTTAAGGTGGGAGGGTTGATAGAGAGGGAGATGTTGAACATCATGGACAGTGGGACGACTTGCAAGAGCGGACCAGCGGGGGGGGGTACCATGGTTACCACGATCAAACCAGGCATCGTCCAAGACGCCGAAGGAGGTGGTTATGGGGTGGTTGGTTTGATCGCAGGGTTCCCCAGCGCGAGGGCCGTGACGGCGAACGTAGGGGCAGGGGGGGAGTTGACCAGGTCCGCTACCACCACGTCCACTTCCTCCAGGGCCGCCCGTGCAAGAAGGAGTGCGTCCACCAAAGGTGCCACCACGTCCACCACCACGGCCGCCACCACGCCCACCTCCACGTCCGCCACCGCGACCACCACCACGCCCACCACCGCGTGTCTGGGTGGCGTTGAGTTCTGGCGCGGGTGCTTGAGCCGTGTTGAGAGAAGGCGGGTTGGTACGAAGGAGGCGGGTTTCGGTGTCAATGATCCATTGAACGACAGCAGCAACATCCGCAAACGGCTGATTTTCGCGGAAGGCAATGACGTGCATGTCGTAGGACGGGTTGAGACCGCGGAGAAGGCGATCTATCTGGATGAACTGGGGGAGTTCGGACTGGCGAGCCTTAAGTCGCTTGGCGAGAGAGGTCATGCGGCCGGTGTAGGCGACGGCACCAGTGCAGGTTGCGAGCGTTGTCTCCCAGTATTCGTCAAGGAGCAGCCCCACGGAGTTGACGTCATGGCGCTCAAACATGGCGTGAAGGGAGGCCCAAAGGGCAGGTGCGTGAAGCTCTTGTTCCTGAAAGTCTCGCATTAGAGCGGGGGGGAGACCACCAAGGATAATATTAGAGGCAGAAAGGTCAGATTCCTTCCAAGCAGCAGCTTTAGCGGTATATTCAGCGAGCGCGAGAGTGTAGCGGTCAGCCATGGTGCGGTGATTTATTATGGCAGCTTGGCGCATGTCGTATTGCTCGCGAGCCGCACGATGGTCCGCTCGGAGCGTGAGGAACCGACGCCGCTCGAGATCGTAGGCTGCTTCATCAGCAGCTTGGCGAACAGGATCCGTGGAGGCAGCGGGCAGATCTGGTTCGTCAGGTTCAGGTCCAGGGTCAGGCGGGAGAGTGGGGGCCGATCCAGGGGACATAGGGGGCGTTGGCGGGAGAGCGGCAGCATGGCGGAGGACAAGGTCGAGGAGGGTGGAGGAGGTGTTGGGGATGTGGATGACGCCGAGGAGGCGGCGCATGCTCCCTGCTTACCAGTTGATAGCGCTCTGATCGGGAGCGAGCTCGAGCCGATCAATGGAGAGAGTGTTGAAATTCTGAGGAAGAGAAGGAGCAGCCATAGCAGTAAGTTAGTGCGATGTGAGGGGAGAAAAAATGTTAGTAGCGAGCGAAAGCGAGGCAGGTTAGAAGCTGAGGGAGAGGAGGAGGGGGGTTAGTAGCAGCACGTGGGAGAGGATTGGGAGCAGTAGCGTGGCAGGAGAGGCGGAGAGCAGAGATAGTATGAGAGAGGCAGCGGGAGAGGAAACGGTGGGCGGAAGCAATGGGGGGGGGGGGGAAGGGTCGAGGGAGCGGCGGGGAGGAAGAGATGAGGCAGTAGCTAAGTGCCTGGCGGCGAGGGAGAGTAGGAGCAGCCGCGGCGAAGTGTCTTGCAGCGAGGAGAGGCAGTGGCGGCGGCAAATTGCCCGCAGTGAGTGAGTAGAGGCGGCGGAGGCGAAATGCCCCGCGGCGAGTGGGAGCAGTGGCGGCGGCGGCGAAATGCCCCGCGGCGAGTGGGAGCAGTGGTGGCGGCGGCGAAATGCCCCGCGGCGAGTGGAGTAGTGGCGGCGGAGGCGAAATGCCCCGCGGCGAGTGGGAGCAGTGGCGGCGGAGGCGAAATGCCCCGCGGCGAGTGGGAGCAGTGGCGGCGGCGGCGAAATGCCCCGCGGCGAGTGGGAGCAGAGGCGGCGGCGGCGAAATGCCCCGCGGCAAGTGGGAGCAGTGGCGGCGGCGGCGAAATGCCCCGCGGCGAGTGGAGTAGTGGCGGCGGAGGCGAAATGCCCCGCGGCGAGTGGGAGCAGTGGCGGCGGCGGCGAAATGCCCCGCGGCGAGTGGGAGCAGTGGCGGCGGCGGCGAAATGCCCCGCGGCGAGTGGGAACAGTGGCGGCGGCGGCGAAATGCCCCGCGGCGAGTGAAGCAGCGGCGGCGGCGGCGAAATGCCCCGCAAGGAAGAAAAGCGGTGCGAGAGTAGTGGCGACGGCGGATAGGTCGCGGCGATTGAGTCGCCGGCAGCTGAGAACGTAAATGCGGCGGCAGGAGCTGAGGCGAGAAATTCGCCTTACGAGAGATAGAGTAGGAGCTGGAGGGAGGTGGTGACTGGTTGTACTTTACGGAAGATTGAACTTCAACCAAGTCAAACCCACGCAACAAGTTGCATGGGCAGGACGGAAGGGTCCTGACGAGCGGGGAGGAAAAAAAAAAACTTGAGAGAAAGAGGTCGAGAGGGGCGTTTGCCAATTGGCTCTGAATACCATGAAAGAATCTCAAGTGTTGTCTTGATTAGAAAGAGTGTCGGTACATATAGGAGATGAGAAGTTTTGGGAACGAAGTGGGGTACCCTCAGCATTTATTGGTGGACCAATCAGATTGGGTCGACCAACAATTGCTGGGGTAACCAACAATCGTTGGAGGGGACCATTATTGGGCCCCCCCCGTCAATTGCGGTCGAGTTGGGTTTGGGGGCGCCCAACCAAAATTGGTTGGGTCGCCTTGACCCAAAGTGTACACCCACTTTAGGGTGTAACACATGCACAAATATAAACATACATTATGCTATATTCTAACAAGGCATGCTCCATGTAGACACGTTAGGCATGCTCCATGTAGACACGTTAGGCATGCTCCATGTAGACACGTTAGGCATGCTCCATGTAGACACGTTAGGCATGCTCCATGTAGACACGTTAGGCATGCTCCATGTAGACACGTTAGGCATGCTCCATGTAGACACGTTAGGCATGCTCCATGTAGACACGTTAGGCATGCTCCATGTAGACACGTTAGGCATGCTCCATGTAGACACGTTAGGCATGCTCCATGTAGACACGTTAGGCATGCTCCATGTAGACACGTTAGGCATGCTCCATGTAGACACGTTAGGCATGCTCCATGTAGACACGTTAGGCATGCTCCATGTAGACACGTTAGGCATGCTCCATGTAGACACGTTAGGCATGCTCCATGTAGACACGTTAGGCATGCTCCATGTAGACACGTTAGGCATGCTCCATGTAGACACGTTAGGCATGCTCCATGTAGACACGTTAGGCATGTTCCATGTAGACACGTTAGGCATGTTCCATGTAGACACGTTAGGCATGTTCCATGTAGACACGTTAGGCATGTTCCATGTAGACAGAAGGGTTTTTACTGTCTATCTTTTGCTTTAAGCCTGAATAAGTTTGCTGCTCGCTGAGAACATGCCCTTTCCTCCCAACTCAGCTCAATGTGCGTCTCCCTCCTAACCCAAAATCTACATGTAGAGATGGTGTTTTTGAGACGTCTCAGAAATGCCCTTTCCTCCCAACTCAGCTCAATGTGCGTCTCCCTCCTAACCCAAAATCTACATGTAGAGATGGTGTTTTTGAGACGTCTCAGAAATGCCCTTTCCTCCCAACTCAGCTCAATGTGCGTCTCCCTCCTAACCCAAAATCTACATGTAGAGATGGTGTTTTTGAGACGTCTCAGAAATGCCCTTTCCTCCCAACTCAGCTCAATGTGCGTCTCCCTCCTAACCCAAAATCTACATGTAGAGATGGTGTTTTTGAGACGTCTCAGAAATGCCCTTTCCTCCCAACTCAGCTCAATGTGCGTCTCCCTCCTAACCCAAAATCTACATGTAGAGATGGTGTTTTTGAGACGTCTCAGAAATGCCCTTTCCTCCCAACTCAGCTCAAGGTGCTTCTCCCTCCTTGCCCAAAATCTGCCCGTCACAGTTAGACACGTCTCAAGATTTTTGAGACGTCTCAAAATACCCCTCCTCTGCTCATTTTCAGCGCGCTCCCCTCCCGACTTACCCAGAGGTCCGTCTCCTTCCTTGGCCAGAAGTGCTTTGAGACGTCTCAAACCACTTCCTCATACATGTCTCCTTCCTTGGCCAGAAACCTGCCAGTCACGTTTGCGTATCCTTCCACCCCTTCCTTCCTTTCTCCCCCCCCACTCCCCCGTTCTCCCACCCCTTCTTCCCCCCATGATCCCCAGGCCCCCCAGCTGAAAAGTCTTCCTGGGTCGGGCAGGAGTTGCGGGCAGCTGACCGACCGGACTTGGGCAGTGCAAAAGTTGTGATTGCCGGCGGGCGGGGGCTGAAGAGTGAAGAGAATTTCAAGCTGCTGGAACAACTAGCAGACAAACTGGGAGGGGCAGGTAAGAAAGATTGACAGTGAATGAAACACCAAAAGCGCGGAATCAACTAAGCGAATCAATAAACTCCTGCCCTAGCTGGAAGAAGATCTTGCCCTTGCTGCCTGGACGTATGCTCAACCACAACTACACTCTCCTTTTTCCATTGCTGTAATCTTCTCCTGCCCTTTTTGCCCTTCTTGCCAGTGGGAGCCTCTCGGGCAGCTGTGGACGCAGGTTACGTAGCCAATGACCTGCAAGTCGGGCAGACCGGAAAAATCGTCGCGCCAGACCTGTACATGGCGTTTGGAATTTCGGGCGCGATTCAGCATCTGGCAGGCATGAAAGATTCCAAGGCGATCGTGGCCGTTAACAAGGATCCAGATGCTCCGATCTTCCAGGTAACAACTCAAAGCGCTCTGCTTTTTCTCTCCCCCATTTGAATCCGAAGCACATGCTACAGTCCGTTTTTTTGTTGATTCCAAAATGATCGTGGCCGTTAACAAGGATCCAGATGCTCCGATTTTCCAGGTCGCGGATTACGGGCTGGTGGGCGATTTGTTTCAAGTGCTGCCCGAGCTCCTAGAGAAAGTTCCTGCCAAGGCCTAAAAAGCAGAGCGCCCACTCAGTAAGGCACAACAGAAGCATATTTAGTACATTATCCTTTTTGGAATCTGGATTTTTTTTTTTTGAGGGACTTTTATTCCTGTTTTGTTGGCTGGAACACCACATTTCCGTTACTAAGGAAGGATGGCATCTTTGTCCTGAATTAATACTAGTTGTCCTACCCTTCGAACAACACTGCTAGACATGATATGATATGACCCCCTACCAGCAGAATGAATGAGGAAGGGATGAAAGACTGCAACACAACTGCTGCAGAAGCCGAGCTGTCAAGCCATTCACATGTGAAACCCCTGCAGCACTATCCTTGGAACAACACTTCTGGATATGAAACCCCTCCAGGACCACCATGAGAGAGGAGGCAATCAAACACTGCAGAAGCCGAGCTGTCAGCCCTTTGCATGTGACCGGTGCAACGCGGTGCTACCCGGTACCTCCAGCCGAGATGTTGAAACGGCTGGAAAAAATAATAATGACGGAGCACAAAAACCAAAGGGCCCAAGAGACTGGAAACACTTGCTGCTGCTGCTGCTGATTGCTCAAACATCTCCAGCTGCTGCTGCTGCTGCTGCTATTGAGACGGCACAAAGGGTTCGAGAGACTGGAAACACTTGCTGCTGCTGCTGCTGCTGATTTCCTCACCCTGTGTGCTGCTTCAGACATCCCTATCACCTGGTCCTGCTCCTGCCCTGCTGCCCTGCTGCTATGCTACCCTGCTGCTATGCTACCCTGCTGATCCTGCTGCTGCTGCTACTCCTCTGCTGTCCTGCTGGCTATTCTATGTTAGCCTGCTGCTCTAGTGCTCTGGTATTTTTTGCTGCTCTGCTGCCCTGCCGTACTAGCTCTCATCTCCTCCCATCTCCTCCCCCGGGGGTCCAAGCAGAGGCACCCAGAATCGACTGGCCATTCCACAGCAGGCGCACGCCCCCCTGCGGATGCCTCTCAACCGCAAACCCTTTAGGATACGGCGCGATCAGCTCTCTCAACCCCCACATGCTCCTCTTGCTGTACGGCCGTGCTGCCACCCCCAACCTCCCCATCCGCGTGTGCATCTGGTCCAACCTCTCTGCTCGCACCAGCCTCTGCATGCCTTCGCACGCCACCAGGTTCACCATTTCCCGTGCGAGAACGAACTCCTCGAAGCCGCGGCGGCCAAAGGAGAAGCGCGAGGCGAGTGCGTCGTGGGAGGCGAAGATGTTGTGGAAGAAGAGGAGAGCGTCTTTGAAACGGTGGAGAAAGAAGGGTTGTTGTTGGTTGGAGTCCCACTCGACTAACGACACCACCTTGGGGTCTAGCTGCATGATTGCCTGAAGGGAGGAAGGGAGGGGATGGGGGGAGGGAGTTGTAAGAATGTGTTCGATCAAAGAGGAGGTTCACCATTGTCCTCGCACGCCACCAGGTTCACCATCTCCCTCGCCAGCATCAACTCTTCAAAGCCGCGGCGGCCGAAGGAGAAGCGCGAGGCGAGTGCGTCGTGGGAAGCGAAGATGTTGTGGAAGAAGAGGAGAGCGTCTCGGAAGCGAGAAAGGAAGAAGGGCTGCTAGAGCGACTCTAGCAGGCTGCTAGAAGGGCTGCTGGTTGGAGTCCCACTCTACTAGAGCGACCACTTTGGGTCTAGCTGCATGATCGCCTGGAGGAGCAAGGGGGGAGGAATAGCAGTGTGCGCGGAGGGAAAGCTCACCAACTGAGGCATCAACTGCATGATCATCTTAAGGCAGGGGTAAAATAGGTGGGTGGTTAACAAAGCCATATTAACACCGCTCCCCCTTTACCTCACCACTCTCTCTTACCTTTATTGCTGTATCCTTTGGGCTGTGCCTGAGAACTGTAGAATCTGCAACACACGCCAGCCGCCCAGCCACGTTCACCAGCACACACTCGCCCCGCTCCACTCCAATCGCCGCCGCCCGCAGCGTCTCCGGCGCCGCCTCGACCCGGGAAAAGGACAAGCTCACGCCGCACTCCTGCGCCGCCCGCGCCAGCTCAGCCTGCAGGAAGGCCGCAGGAAGCTTCGGGCCAGTCCCATAGGGATGACCGAAAGGAGGGTCTACAGCTGTGAATCGGATCCGGAGAAAGGAGGGAGGGATGGGAGAAGGAGCAGAGGTAGAAGGACCTTGCAGGGGTGTGGGAGAAGGGGATGACGAGGGTGAGGGGGAGTGGTGGGCGGAGGTGGGCTGGGACGGAGAAGGGTGGGAGGCGGATGGTGATTGGGAAGCATGGCTGGTGGTAGCAGCAGTACTGTCACAGATACCAACGCTGCTGCTGCTGCTGCCGCTGCTGCTGCTGCTGTTATGGCTGTTGATGGTAACAGCTGCTGCGGCCATTCTTTTCCGGGCAGCTGCCGCCAGCTGGCGGATGACGATTGGCCACTGGCCTGCCCACATGGCAAAGTCAACGATGTGGATGTTGGACTCATCCTCTGCCGCGTCCTGTGGAGAAAGAGAGGGTGAGAGGGTAGGTGGAGAGGGGCGTAAGCAGGGAAAGTGTACCACTGGCCTGCCCACATGGCAAAGTCAACGATGTGGATGTTGGACTCATCCTCTGCCGCGTCCTGTGGAGGGAGAAAGGGAGAGGGTAGGTGGAGAGGGAGTGAGTAGGGAGAGTGTCGAGTGGGTTGCACGAATGGCAAAGCCGACGATGTGGGTGTTTGGGTTCATGCTCTGCCGCGTCCTGTAGAAATAGAGGGGGCCGATGGTGGGGAGACGGAGAGGACAAGGTAAGGCTGAAGAACGGGGGGTGGGGGGGTTGGGGGGTGGGGGGGGTTTGGTGCACTAACGGCGAATGAAGTCGACGATGTGGGTGTTTGGACTCATCCTCTGCCGCGTCCTGTAGAGGGAAAGGGGTGAGGGGAAGGGGGGCAGGGAGGGAGGGATGAGGGGGACAAGGAGGGGTGAGGCGGGGGAGAGGGGAGTTGCACGATGCCCACACGGCAAAGTCGACGATGACGGCCAGTGAAGTCAACGAAGCCAACGATGTGGGTTTTTGGCTCATGCTTTTGAGTCGACTCAAAAGCCAACGATGTGGGTGTTTGGCTCATGCTTTTGAGTCGACTCAAAAGCCAACGATGTGGGTGTTTGGCTCATGCTTTTGAGTCGACTCAAAAGCCAACGATGTGGGTGTTTGGCTCATGCTTTTGAGTCGACTCAAAAGCCAACGATGTGGGTGTTTGGCTCATGCTTTTGAGTCGACTCAAAAGCCAACGATGTGGGTGTTTGGCTCATGCTTTTGAGTCGACTCAAAAGCCAACGATGTGGGTGTTTGGGCTCATGCTTTTGAGTCGACTCAAAAGCCAACGATGTGGGTGTTTGGGCTCATGCTTTTGAGTCGACTCAAAAGCCAACGATGTGGGTGTTTGGCTCATGCTTTTGAGTCGACTCAAAAGCCAACGATGTGGGTGTTTGGGCTCATGCTTTTGAGTCGACTCAAAAGCCAACGATGTGGGTGTTTGGGCTCATGCTTTTGAGTCGACTCAAAAGCCAACGATGTGGGTGTTTGGCTCATGCTTTTGAGTCGACTCAAAAGCCAACGATGTGGGTGTTTGGGCTCATGCTTTTGAGTCGACTCAAAAGCCAACGATGTGGGTGTTTGGGCTCATGCTTTTGAGTCGACTCAAAAGCCAACGATGTGGGTGTTTGGGCTCATGCTCTGCCGCGTCCTGCAGCAAGGGAGGAAGAGGGGTTTGTGGAAGGGAGGGGAGCCGGGGAGAGTGTGGGAGGGGGTTTGCATTGCACCAATGGCAAAGTCGACAATGTGGGTGATGTTGGTCTCGTCTTCTGCCGCGTCCCTGCAGAAACAGGAGGAGAATGAGGGGAGACGAAGGTGGGGAATGAGAGTGGTTGAGGGGGGTTCATCAGTAACAAAGTCAAAACAAGTTCAACTTTGTGAATGTTGGCGTGGAGCTCTGCTTTGTCCTGCAGTGAGAGGGAGAAAGAGGGGAGGAGGTGGTAGGGGAGGGGTGGGTGGAGGAAGAGTGAGTGGAGGATTAGAACGAAAGGAAAATCAGCAGTATCACACATTCCTGACCATCGCTGGACACTCCCTACCACCACTCTGCACGACTTGCCAGCACTCTGCAGCACCTACCGGCCATCTTCACTCCCCACCACCACTCTGCACGCCTTACCACCGCTCAGCACACCTCACCACCGCTCTGTACGCCTCACCAGCATGGCACAGGCCAGGGCGGAGTAGCAGAACTGCAGCGTGGGGCAGTGCGCTGCAAACGCCAGAATCAACGCTTCCTCCTGTGGTGGAGAGGGGTGGAAAGGGATGGAGAGGGACGGAGAGGGATGGAGAGGGACGGAGAGGGATGGAGAGGGACGGAGAGGGATGGAGAGGGATGGAGAGGGATGGAGAGGGATGGAGAGAATTGGAGAGGGAGCAGGTGGTGGGCGACAGCAGGTGCAGCACCATCAACTGTGCCCATCAACACCAACATCTCACTGTCCTCGCACTGTCCTCGCACTGTCCTCGCACTGTCCTCGCACTGTCCTCTCACTGTCCTCTCACTGTCCTCTCACCTCAGGTGCGCGGTGACTTTTGAGTCGACTCAAAAGACAGCAGGTGCAGCACAATCAACTGTGCCCATCAACACCAACATCTCACACATCTCACTGTCCTCTCACCTCAGGTGTGCGGCTCAAATATGCGATCTAGTCTAGTCCATCCCCAGGGACGACTATTGAGGCGCCTCAAAAGTCGGCTCAAATATGCGATTTAGTCTGGTCCATCCGCAGGGCGCCTTTTGAGGCGCCTCAAAACTCAAATATGCGATCTAGTCTAGTCCATCCTCAGGGACGACTATTGAGGCGCCTCAAAAGTCGGCTCAAATATGCAATATAGTCTGGTCCATCCGCAGGGCGCCTTTTGAGGTGCCTCAAAACTCAAATATGTGATCTAGTCTGTCCCCACGGCGCCTACAGCCCTCTTGGCGAGGGCAGTGAGGAGGTAGTGTGAGACAGAGGCGAGGCAGTAGCAACATCAACATCTCACCACCACCTCACCTCAGGTGCGCGGCTCAAATATGCTATATATTTCATCCCAAGGGCGCCTGCAGCCCTCTTGGCGAGGGCAGGGAGGAGGTAGTGTGAGGCAGCAGCAGCATCAAGTGTCCCCTTCAACACCAACACATCTCCAACACCTCAGTACCATCTCTTACCTCAGGCGCGCGGCTCAAATATGCGTCTGCTTTTGAGTCGACTCAAAAGCCGCGTGTAATGAGTCTGCTTTTGAGTCGACTCAAAAGCAACACCTCAGTACCATCTCTTACCTCAGGCGCGCGGCTCAAATATGCGATCTAATCTGTCCCCAGGGCGCCTACAGCCCTCTTGGCGAGGGCAGGGAGGAGATAGACAGCAGCAGCATCACCATCAGCTCTTGAGGCATCACCATCAGCTCTTGAGGCATCACCATCAGCTCTTGAGGCATCACCATCAGCTCTTGAGGCATCACCATCAGCTCTTGAGGCATCACCATCAGCTCTTGAGGCATCACCATCAGCTCTTGAGGCATCACCATCAGCTCTTGAGGCATCACCATCAGCTCTTGAGGCATCACCATCAGCTCTTGAGGCATCACCATCAGCTCTTGAGGCATCACCATCAGCTCTTGAGGCATCACCATCAGCTCTTGAGGCATCACCATCAGCTCTTGAGGCATCGCCATCAGCTCTTGAGGCATCATGCATAAAACCATCTCACCTCGGGAGCGCGGCTGAGATAGGCAATGTAGTCGGTTCCTAAGGCGCCTGCAGCCCTCTTGGCGAGGGCAGTGAGCAGGTAGTGTGAGACGCGCTGCATGGGCGTGCCGTAGGGGGAGGAGAGAGGGCGCAGGCGCCGAGTCAAAGACACCATTCGCGGCTGTCGCGGGGAGGCACATGGGGAGAGGGGGATGGGCAGAGCGAGAGGCAGAGGCATGTAGTGAGGAGGTAGTGTGAGACGCGCTGCATGAGCGTGCCGTAGGGGGAGGACAGCGGACGCAGGCGCCTGGTGAGACTGACCATACGCGGCTGTAGGGGGTTGAGTGGAGCAGGGGGACACAGGGGGGAGGCTGGCAGTGAGCTGGTAGTGTGAGACGCGCTGCATGAGCGTGCCGTAGGGGGAGGACAGCGGACGCAGGCGCCTGGTGAGACTGACCATACGCGGCTGTAGGGGGTTGAGTGGAGCAGGGGGACACAGGGGGGAGGCTGGCAGTGAGCTGGTAGTGTGAGACGCGCTGCATGGGAGTGCCGTAGGGGGAGGAGAGCGGACGCAGACGGCGAGTCAAAGACACCATTCGCGGCTGCGTGAGGGAAGCACAGGGGCCACAGGGGGCACAGGGAGAGGGAAAGGGGGAGGGAGAGGCAGGCAGTGAGGAGGTAGTGTGAGACGCGCTGCATGGGCGTGCCGTAGGGGGAGGAGAGCGGGCGCAGGCGCCGAGGCAAAGGCACCATTCGCGGCTGTGGGAGGGAGGCACAGGGGCCACAGGGAGAGGGAGAGGGAGAGGGAGAGGCGGGCAGTGAGGAGGTAGTGTGAGACGCGTTGCATGGGCGTGCCATAGGGGCAAGGGAGCGGGCGCAGACGCCTGGTGAGACTGACCATACGCGGCTGTAGGGGGTTGAGTGGAGCAGGGAGACACAGGGGGGAGGCAGGTGGTGAGAAGGTACTGAGAGACTCGCTGCATGGGCGTGCACACTCTCCGAGTCACCAAACTCACTCACGGCCCACGGCACCGCCTCCACCCTCTGCTGCTCTACCACTCACCCACCCTCACCTGGTCCCCAGTGGCCACGGCTTCAGCCAGTTGAAGCAGGTCCTGTGGCAGCATCTCATCAGAAACCTGCCCACTCTTACCCACCTGCCTAACCCACACTACGGATGCACCCACCTGCTCGCAACTCCCCTCACCTGGTCGCCTGTGGCCACGGCTTCAGCCAGCTGCAGCAGGTCTTGTTGCAACCCCTCATCCGACACCCGCCCACTCGCCATGTCCCGCACACTCTCCGTGTCTCCAAACTCACTCACTGTCCTCGGCACCACCTCCACTCTCCCCCTCCCTCTCCCACTCTCACCTGGTCGCCTGTAGCCACGGCTTCAGCCAGCTGCAGCAGGTCTTGTTGCAGCATTTCATCCGACACCCGCCCACTTGCCAGGTCCCGCACACTCTCCGTGTCTCCAAACTCACTCACTGCCCTCGGCACCGCCTCCACTCTCTGCTGCTGCTGCTGCTCCATCACTCTCGGTTGAATCACTCTTGGTTGAATCACTCTTGGTTGGTGGTTCTGCTTCGGCTGAATTGCCCTCAGGTGAGTTACTCCTGGCTGATTCACATTCGAATTCACACTTGGATTTACACTCGGCTGATTGGATCTTAGTTGGTTGGTTTGTTGCTGCTGCAGCTGAGGTCCTGCTCTTAGGGCCCCTCTCAGCCGCTGCTCCAATGCCGACGCGCCACCTGGCGCGCCTCCCACTGCCCTGACTGCCAACGCATCTGTCAGCGTGTGCTGCTGCTGACGTGTGCTTGTATTAAAGGGGCTTATACTGAACGGGTCCCCTGCTGCTCCGTCTGCTGCTCTGCCTGCTGCTGCTGGGGCTACCCCAAATCGAGTACCTACTCCTAAACCTGCTCCTGCTCCTACCCCTACTCCTGCTCCTACTCCTACTCCTGCCCCTGCTCCCGCTGCTCCTGCTGCTGCTGCCTGGGTTGCGGAATCAAGTACTCGCATCACTGAATGGTCAACGGAGTATTTCCTGGTATCTGCAAAAGAACCTGGAGGGAACAGCACGAGATCTGTCCCTGCTGCTGACCCTGCTGCTGCTTCATCAGAGCTAGATCTCGCCACAAGAGATGCTAGTTCAGACGCCAAGTCCCTCCCTCTTGGGGGAGGGTTTTCAAGCGCCACTTTACCATCAACTTGCATGGGCCTACCTCTTTCATCATAACTGGTTCTCGCCACAAACGATGCTAGTTCAGACGCCAAGTCCCTCCCTCCTCCTGCTGCCCTATTCTGAAGCGTTTCGTTGATATCAACTTGCATGAACCTACTGCTCTCACCACTCGCAGCTGCAGCGGCGGCGGCAGCACCAGCAGCAGCCGCAGCAGCGGTGCTATCCCCACTACCACCACCACCACGAATACCACTCAAACCACCACCACCACTACCACCACCACCACTACCAGCATCAACACAAGCAGCAGTACTAACATCACCCCTACCACCACCGCTCCAGCCCTGGCCCGTCATACCCACTACACCGAACCTGCTCCTCTCTCCCGAACCTACTGCCGAACCACCAGACCCTACAGCAACCCTATCCTCGTTAGAAGCACCCCGTGAGAACCCTGTAATAGCCTTTTCCAGAGCCTCCATCTCTGCTGCGCGCATAGAGTCAATGCTAGCAAAGGGGAACTCTAAATCGAACTGGGACGCCTGTAGCGGCCGCTTGGACGGCTGTAGCGGCCGTTGCGCCGGCTGTAGCGGCTGGTTTGCCTGCTGCTGCTGACTCTGGTGCCGATTCTGCTGCTGGTATAGTTGCTGCTGCTGCTGCTGCTCCTGCTCCTGCTGCGGTTGCTGCTGTTGCTGATTCTGCGGCTCAATCTGTTGGTCCTGGCCTTGCTGCACTAGCTCTGTATCCTGTCCCGACAGCTGCCGTCGCACCAGCGCAAGCAAAAGCGAATCCGTCATTCTACCTCCTCCTTCCTGCTGCACTTGCTGCTGCGCCTGCTGCTCCTGCCGCTGCATCTGCTGCTGTTGCACTTGCTCCTTTCGCTGCATCTGCTGTTGCACTTGCTCCTTTCGCTGCATCTGCTGTTGCACTTGCTGCTCCTGCACCTGCTCACGCCGCTGCATCTGATGATGCTGTGATTGCGGCCGCCCTTGCAGCGCCTCCCATAGCTGATCGTGCTGCTGCTGCTGCTGCAGTTGCTGCTGCGCCTGCTGCTGCTGCTGCTCCTGCCGCTGCATCTGATGTTGCTGTTGCGGCCGCCCTTGCAGCGCCTCCCATAGCTGATCGTGCTGCTGCTGTTGTTGCTGCTGCAGTTGCTGTTGCGGCTGCTGCTGCAGCAGCAGCTGCTCTAACTGTTGCTGCTCTACCTGCTGTCTCTCGTCTGTTTGCTTCTTCTGCAGGGGCTGCGGCTGCGGTTGCTGCTGCTGCTGCTGCTGCGGATTTGACTGCGCTCTAGACACCTGCTGCTTCTGAAATCTAACCGCACTGGCCAGACGCTTAGCTAAGTCCACTGGTTTCCTGCGAGGCCCAAGCTCTAATCCCCCCGAACCACTAAGTACTCCTCCCTCCTTGACGCCACTACTACTGCTACTGCCACCAACAGCAGCAGCAGCAGCAGCAGCAGCAGCAGCAACAGTAGGGCCGGTGCTGTCCGCGTAAGTGGTGAGGGCGGGTGAAGCGATTAAGGGAGATGCAATGGCGTGAGACTCGATGAAGGGTGGAGCGGCAACGGTGGGAGACGCAATGGAGGGAGGGGTTGCGGCGACAGGGGACTCGATGAAGGGGGGAGAAGCAACAGCAGGAGACGCAAGAGCGGGAGAAGCAGCAGCAGCAGCAGCAGCAGCAGCAGCAGCAGCAGCAGCAGCAGCAGCAGCAGCAGCAGCAGCAGCAGCAGCAGCAGCAGCAGCAGCAGCAGTAGTAGCACCGTCGCCAGCAACCCCAGCAGCAGTAGCACCTGTTACCGACACTTGCGGCGACCCGGACGACGCTCGAATCGACGGTGACGATCGCTGCTGCTTGCCGCGCTGCTGCAGGCTCGAGCTCAGCGGCGCGCTCAGCAAGTCCATGTTCCACTCCGCCGTAGCCGCTACAGCCGCCACAGGCGCTACAGCCGCCACAGGCGCTACAGCCGCCACAGGAGCTTCAGCCGCTACAGCCGGCAGAGTCGCTACAGTGGGCATAGCCGCTACAGCCGGCATAGCCGCTGTAGCCGTTACATCCTCAGCCACGCGGTTACTACTGCTTCCTCCCTCTCTTCCACCCTCTTCTCCTGCTCCTGCGCCGCCTCCCCACGTGTCTCCAAAAACCCCTTTGCTCCGCTTACCAACTCGACCTCTGCCGTCGCCGCCGCCCAATTCGCCTGATCCGCCGCCCAGCCCTCCCCCTTCAGGATCTGCGGAGGGGAACACCGGCGGAGCAACGAATTCCTGCCAGCCGAGATCATGTGGTAACGCCGCCAGAGGCTGCTCCAGACTCGGATCCCCCCCTAGCACTTGCGCTTGCGCTTGCCCTTGCGCTTGCCCTTGCGCTTGCCCTTGCGCTTGCACCCGTGCTTGTGCTTGCCCTTGCGCTTGCGCTTGCCTTGCCCTCATCATATCCACCCCGAAAACTGAACCCCCTGTTGCGGATCAATACTATGCTCTGTATCATGATCACCATGGACATAGTGCGATTCGACCAAATTAATGGTAGGAGTGGTTGTAGTAGTGACTCGGAGGGAACCATCATGGGTGATCATCATGTTGTAATTTCTAACTCCTTCGGCAAAGCGCGATTCATCGCCGGCTGCATGATTGTGAGATTCTGGCAGACGATCCGCTAGAGGATGATCCGTTAAACTGCCGTCGTGGTCATGGTGGTGTCCCATTTCGTGCTGACCGTCCAAGAAATCTCGCAGCGCGAATGGATCGATCGGGGTTGGGATTGGATCCAGGGCGGCATGATGATGTAAATCTGCTGCTAGTGGTAATGAATCGGGCAATTGCCACGTGGACTCTTCGAAATGCCATGGTTGCGTCGCGTCCCTGCGCACCGTGATTATAGAACGCAAGGTCCGCGCAGTCAAAACGTGCGTACTAGTAGAAGACAGAGGGAGATAGAAAAAGAACGAAAATTTGGGGAAAAATAAAAAAAAAAAACCAAAGAAACACACACACACACACACTCACTCGCTCACTCGCACACAAACTCACTCACTCACTCACACACACACACACGCCAAACAAAACACAAAACAAAAAAAGAAACGACTAAGACGGGAGAAGAAAAACAAACAAGCTTCAGGAATTTAGAACCAGCAATGAGACCCACCACAAATTATGTTCGTCCATTACGCTGCTGCTAAAATCAAACACAGCGGTATGAACTCCAAGGATCATCTCAGTTAGACGCTCAAAGCACTCTTTTTTCCCTACAGCAATTTCATGCGACAACTCAAAGTGGGAGGTGATGGAGGAGAGATCACAGATCGTCTCGCCTTCTCTGTGCCACTGGGAGGAAAAATTTCTCACCTCCAGTTGTCGTCGCAACGCAACTGAGGTTCACTTCACATCACAACAGACAGCGTGGCCGCAATCAGGGCATAGGCGGGTGGAATGGAGAGAGCATAGGCGGGCGAAGATGCAACTATCCTCGCTTGGACCGAACAAACAACTGGGTCGTGTCGTCGTATCCTCCTGCTGGGAACAGTCGTCTGCACAAAGATTTAGCGGGCTAGTTACCTCGCTACCCATCCTTACCACACATTAACGTGTGGAGACACTGACCAATCCACTCACCTCTACACAAAATTCCGTTGATTTGTGCAATGTGCAAGCCAAAGCAGGTCAGGTCCAAGATGTGATGCGGTGCGCTTGTAGTTTTGCCTGGAGAATAACGGATTTAACAAACCCGTTATATATCGTTACTGTACAGTTCTGCCGTAGGGTAACTCTGCTTGAGGAATTCGCTGCTACAAGAAAACAGTTTTTGATTGGTGGTGTATGTTATGCACGGACGGTCCACCGGTAAAAGACGCAAATCATCTGGGACCCCGCAAATCATATGGCAAGACTTCGCTGCAATAACTGTAGAGGCTGAATAAAGTACATTAATGTACAGTTTTGTACAGTTCTTTGATAAACCCAGCAACTCTGACCAGCAAAAACCGACTCGCAAACTGACAAAACGCCAGATCACACGACATAAAGAGCAGGCCGCAAATGAATAAAACACGTTTCCCAGAGTCCTCTGCGCACATCTCAGCCATAAAAAACGGCCATCTCTTTCAGATCTTAACCTTCGACTCCGTTCTTCCCCAACCTCACAGGCTCACCGTGCCTACTCCCACACCTCTCTGACTCTGTTCCGCGACTCCACAAAAAACAATGGGTTTCTAGTTGATCCCGCATTGTTACTGAAACTATACGCCAAAAGCGCAGCACTGTCGCTTCTGGCGCACTGTTACTGCCCATTTTTCGCTCACAGCGCAGAGTTATTGAGATTTCTACGCAGTAAAGTTTTCATTGGTCAAAATGTCGACGGATCGAAAACTCCGCTTGGATTGACGGCCATCGAACCGTTTGCATCTGAATTTTGGGCAGACAGAAGTATATTACCCTCTCAGATGGCATGCTGTTTAGGGAGCATCAATCCTAAACACCGGGCGGAAGTGTTTCGGGAGGATCAACCCTAAACATTGGGCGAAATTTGTTTAGGGTTAATGCCATTTGCGACGGGTTTTGAAAATTTTATAATGGCTGCCATCGAAGGAGGCATCAACCCTAAACACTAAGCAAATGGGTGTTTAGGATTGATGCTCTCTCTATATGGGCATGAAAACTATTCAACACCTGACTGGGTTAAACTGTTTTCTCTTACACAGCTGTCTTGTCGTTTTCGGAGTTTTAGACCAATGAGCGTCGAAATGCGTAGAAGTCGCACTAACTCTGCGCTGTAAACGAAAAACGGGCAGTAACTCTGCCCCAGAAGCGATAGAACTATGCATTTGGCTTGCAGTTTTAAAAAAAGTGCTTTGTCAGCTGGAAACCCAAAAACAATAGAACATCTTGTTGAGGTGGCCATGCAGCAAGCAGCCAGCTCATTGCCAGCTACCTCTCAAATAATCATTGGCTCTGTGCCGTGTTTGATGGCCAGTGGCAACATCCAGTCTGGCACCGTGTCAATGGCACAGTGAATCCTCAGAGGGGTTGCTGGATGCAGTCAGGGAATCTGGAGCACCCAAGCCTGTCAGGGAGGGATTTTCACGTTCAAGAGATTGCGGATGTGACGACACTGTACAGAACCGAACTGTGCTTTGCAAGTTCGCGAAATAGCTACACTAAGTGACGGTTCCACTTCGCAGATACACATCATTCATGCTTCGACGAGAACCAGCAGTGCATGCCCGTCAATGTCGCATGTTACCCCTGAAAACTCTGGTTGGGTGCTTGGCGGACGAAATTCGGCATTGGAACGATCGTACCAAATCTCGGCTCGCGGCTGGGATCTACCTCGCTTGAAGACACACCGTTTGGGATTTTAATCCACAAAGTGAGGAACCAGTTTTATCAGAAATTCATGCTATATGTGCCTCTAAAAGGAAATTAATAAAACGTTATCTTACGCCTTGGACAGAAAGAACTGTCACCAATTTCTAGATCTTTAACTCTATATCCCACGCACAACTCTATTGTTGGATGGTGAATGTCACTTCTCAATAGTGCTTAGAAAAAATCTGTATGCTGATAGAACAGCATGAGCATGGAGTGCAAAAACATAGCTCCCATAGAAAGAAAAAATATTAGTGAGTAAAACCATTTCAAAATGTTGAATGACGCTTTGGAACGTGACGCACCACGTTGGATTGCTTTCGTGGTGGATAGCGCACTTTTGGCCGAGGTGACTTTCTATAAACTGTCCCATTATAACGAAATCCACTATTAGCAGGGTGTACACCATGCCAGGCTCTCGAAGGATGGCTGTCAACCAGAACTATCGACAAGACAACTGTTTATACTGCCTGCCAGACAGCTAAATTGACTAATTGTCGTCAGCATCTGCTGTGCACCGACCGATCCACTGCTGGTTGCTGTCAGAATGTCGCCTGCTGGTTACCACTATGACGACCGTTCGAGCTGGTTACCAGCATGACGAGCTCGACAAAATTCCGAAGCCAGCGACTAGGATTTCTGAAACAAGAAACGGTATCCAGGCAGATCGTTTCGCTTGGTCACAAATTCGCCACCCGAGAGTCATTCGCAGCCGAAGCGCAGCAATCAGCCACGGTGCCAGAGGTGCAAGTGAGGATGCGTGAGGGTGTGCGCAGTGCGCACAGCCAGGCGGGCTTGGGGAAGGTAGAAGTGAAATTTGAGTGAGGCGGAAAAGGGGTGGGTGGGGGAGAGGGACACACTAGTTTTGCGCATTTCACCTGCCCCTCTAGTATCCTGTCACGAAGAAGCGTCCACTCGAGCTCGATGCCGATAGATCGATCTCGGGGTTACAGCTGCGCTGTTGCGTCGTCAGCGAAGGGTTACTCGATTTCGTTGATATTGGCGAACCCACAGAAAACTTCCTTCTACGATGTTGCGACATCCCACTTTGACGATCGGTGTGACACTCCAATCTGGCGAATGTGGGAGTGATGTTGATCTCGCGCCAAAAGTCCCACGTTCTAGGTTCAACTAGAGACTCGATGTTGAACCCAGGGTTGCAAAGGTGCACCGATCGTGCTTCGAACCTGGGCTCACAACTTAGGTCCGGTGTCAACCGCCGAACCTCCTCCAAACCGCTAGAGCGGACGCGTCGTCAGTGTACTGTAATTTCGGACAGGATGAGATAGTAGTTCTGCCGCAACGTCGCGGGAGATTAGCGCAGCAGCTTAGCTGGCAGCACCTCGCAACTAGGCTGGCGGAATGCGCCGCCTCGAAGGAACATGCTCCTTGACTACTATACTAGTACTGGCAATGTCTGGACCCGTCTGTCAAGTAGTGGTACGAATACACGTTGCTGGAAGCAACGAGAATTTTTATCGGCGGCGACGCAAGCGACGCAAGCAAAGAGCCAAGTGATATTTCACGTTATTGCGTAGTTGGTAATAGAAGCATATGACACATGTCTTACGAATCGATTTTACCGAAACCCTAGCTTAGTCCAGCTTCAGCAAAGCGGCGCGCTCGGACCTAGCCCTGATTTTCGCTCACGCTTTATTCGTTGGCGACACGTCCGTCGTTCATCTAAAGCGAGTCCAGGACATTCACAGAACACTCTCCTTCCTTTATAGGACTAATAGTTCGTATTATCTGCATCCCCATATCTGTAACGTCGTAACCGGGGAGGGAATTCACAAGATTTCGTAGGAGCTGGTACGGTAGATTCCCCCTGAGGCGCTTCGAAAGGAGCTGGAGCGGAACGTTCCCAACCAAGTAGTGAGTGCGATGAAGATTCGACGATGCAGGAGCTCCGTTTCCCAGTCACGGGTCGGCGTGGGCTTTCTGCTTGGATTGCTTATCCTCGCCAATAACAGCCTCGTTTATGGGCAAGAAGGTGAGAGCTAATCCAATGTGATTGAAGAGATTTCTCGCGCCGCTGCTGTTGCAACCATGTCTCCAGATGTCATGTTTTCTTACTCCAAGCCTCGGCTCCTGTGCAGCTGACCAATCAGAGATCATCTTGGAGCCCCAGCAACCATCGCAAAACGACGCCTCGGAAGCTACGCAGCCCCCCACACCTGAAATTCCACCTGAAATTGCGCCGGAAATTCCGCTACTGGACCAGCCAGTCGACAAGGTTGTCCCTTCTGACGTATCTGACGTTTACATCGTCCGCCTCCGCGCCGCCCCGCCAATCGCGGGATACACCGGCGGAATCAACGGGATTCCGGCCACGGCAGCGGAGGCTGTCAGAGACTCGGTATCTGACGTCATCAATTCAGTGGCCGGCCAGATTCGCAGGGGGCGTCGCCGAGCGAGTCGCCAATCGTCGCGACTGAACCTGGGGTCGCCAGCAGTCGCACAGTTCAAGCAGTGGCTCGATCGGCTGCAGGATGGAGTTGCGAATGACGTGCGTCTGCCGCGCGCGAATGTACTGTACAAGTGAGTTGTAACAATCAATAGAAGCTATTATGCTACTGTAGATGCACTACACTCGATTTTTCAAACCTATTTTCTCCCTCTGCCAGTTTATCACTGATTCTCCCTCTGCCAGCTCATCACCCCTTTTTTCTGTCCACTTTCTCCCCCTCATTACCAGATTCAAACACGTCAGCAATGCCTTTGTGGCACGTTTGACACCTAAGCAGCTGCAGCAGCTGAAGCGGCATCCAGCAGTTGCAGAAGTCAAGTCCAACTACCGAATCAGCAAGCTCACCACCGACTCTGCAAACTTTCTAAACCTGCCCGGGACGCTCTGGACTGCCCGGGGTCGCGAGCGGGCAGGAGAAGGTGTAGTCGTTGGAATAGTCGACACGGGTATTTGGCCGGAACACCCTTCATTCTCCTCGAATGTTACTCCACCTGATCTTCCATACCCTAACCCTCCATCAACCTGGAGAGGCACCTGTCAGGTGACATCTGATTTCAAGTGCAACAGAAAGGTGATTGGCGCGAAAATTTTCAGCTCGGGGTTCCGGATGTGGTTCGGGCAGGAAGACACGACCGCTGATTGGACGTCGGCTCGGGATGCAAACGGGCACGGCACCTGGTGTGCAGCGTGAGTGATCCATCCACTCCCCCCCTTGCCTCTTGCTTTTGAGTCGACTGCTGACACGAGTGCTGATTGGACATCGGCGCGGGATGCAAACGGGCACGGCACCTGGTGTGCAGCGTGAGCGTTCGATCCATACCCCTTGCCTCTCGCTTTCCATGGCGACTTTTGAGTCGCCTAAAAAGGCACCTGGTGTGCAGCGCAGCGTGAGTGAGTGATCGACACCCCCGTGCCTCACCATTTCTTGCCTTTCACTTTCCACTTTAACCCTCTGAAAGACCATCATGAATGTCACTCTTTCTTGCTTTTCCGTTGTTGGACTCCACCTAAAAAGGCACATGGCGGCACCACCACTGGCATGATCGGGCTCCCCGGCCCGTTTTGAGACGTCACATGTCTTTCCCCTTTCAGCTCATAAGTCTGACTTTTGAGTCGACTCAAAAGTCACCCCGGGCTTTCCTCTTAGATTACAAAATTCAACATGTTTCTTTCTTTCCCTCTACAGCTCATAAGGCTAAAGTACCAAACGCGTTTGAGCCTCTTCCCCTTCTCCCCTCGTCTCCCACTCCTCTCCTCTCCCCTCCACTATGCAGAGCGGCAGCAGGCAACAGCAACGTACCTGTGGTGCCCTCCTCTGCTTAACCCCCTTCGCCTGCCTCTCTCCCACCCCTCTTTCCCATTCAATAATGCAGAGCGGCAGCAGGCAACAGCTACGTGCCTGTGGTACTATCTCCCCGCAACATAAACGTCGGCAACGCCACCGGCATGGCACCCCGAGCCTTCCTCGCAGCCTACAAGGTCTTCTGGGGCAACTCAGTCACAGGCGGCGGGATCACTGCCACGTATGCTGACGTGGAGGCAGCTGTCAACGCGGCTGTCGCTGACGGGGTTGACGTCATCTCGCTCTCTCTGGGCGGCGCAGACCCCAGTGCCACGTATTTCAGCGATCAGACGTATTTATACGCGAATCTGGCCGGCACAGTGGTGGTTTATGCAGCGGGGAACTCCGGTCCGCCCCCATTGCACCCCTCCATGTATCGAAGCATCTCCAACTTCTCGCCGTTCTACCTCACTGTTGGCGCCAGGTGGGTTTCCAGGTGGCTTTCTGTTGGTGCCAGGTGAGTGGTAGGTGTTCTCAGGAGTTGACGGGGTTGACGTCATCTCGCTCTCCCTGCGCGGCGCAGACCCCAGTGCCACGTATTTCAGCGATCTGCCGTATTTATTCGCGAATCTGGCCGGCACAGTGGTGGTAAATGCAGCAGGAAACTCTGGCCCGCCTCCCATGAGTCCACGTGATAAAAGTGTTGTTTTGAGACGTCTCAAAACAACACTTCTATCACGTGGCCGGCACAGGGGTGGCCGGCACAGGGGTGGCTGGCACAGGGGTGGCCGGCACAGGGGTGGCCGGCACAGGGGTGGCCGGCACAGTGGTGGCCGGCACAGTGGTGGCCGGCACGTGCAGCAGGAAACTCTGGCCCGCCTCCCATGAATCCTTTAATGTATCGCAGCATCTCCAACTTCTCGCCGTTCTTCCTCACTGTTGGCGCCAGGTGTGTTTCGGGCGCTTTTCCGTTGGTGCCAGGTGAGCTGTCAGGTGCTTTTCTGTTAGCCCCAGGTGAGCCGCCAGGTGCTTTTCGTTGGCGCCAGGTGAGTGCTAAGTGTCCTCAGGAGGGTGGCGCTATGTGTTCAATCCAGGCCATGCGTGTGCCAAGTGAAGGCCATGGGTTATGTGTTCATTCTTACCCACCCCTGCCTTCGCCCTCCCCTCCCCTCCCCTCCCCCCCCCCTCCCCTCCTCTCCTCTCCTCTCCTCTCCTCTCCTCTCCCTCCCTGCAGCACCATCGCTTGCAGCTACGTCTCTTCAGCCACGCTGGGCGACGGGCGAGTCGTGAAGCTGTACGGCCTTGTGCATTCCGGTATCAACCTCTCCTCCCCCTTTTTCCCTCCCCTTTCCCCTCCCCCTTTTCCCCTCCCCTTTCCCCTCCCCCTTTTCCCCTCCCCCCTTTCCCCCTGCAGCACCGTCGCTCGCAGCTATGTGTCGGCAGCCACGCTGGGCGACGGGCGGGTGGTGAAGCTGTATGGGTTTGGCTCGGGGGACGTGCCGGTGCAGGGACTGGGGCTGGTGGAGGGCGCTGCAGCGCGGGCAGCCGGGAAGACTGAGATTGAGGTGGGTGTGGGGAAGGGCAGATGCAGTGCGGTGCAGGGACTGGGGTTGGTTGGTGGAGGGCGCTGCAGCGCGGGCAGCCGGGAAGAGTGAGATCGAGGTGAGAATGGGGAAGAGCAGATGAGCATCAACGTCAGTGTCTGGCTGGCGTTCAGGCAGGGTCGTGACTTGTGAGGCGTGGCTTGTGAGGCGTGGCTTGTGAGGCGTGGCTTGTGAGGCGTGGCTTGTGAGGCGTGGCTTGTGAGGCGTGACTTGTGAAGCTCTATGGCTTTGGTTCGGGGAATGTAGCTGTGCAAGGGCTGGGGCTGGTGGATGGGATTGCAGGGCGGGCAGCCGGGAAGACTGAGATCGAGGTGGGTGTGGGGAAGGGCAGATGCAGTGCGGTGCAGGGTCTGGGGCTGGTGGAGGGTGTTGCAGCGCAGGCAGCCGGGAAGAGTGAGATCGAGGTGAGAATCGGAAGGAGAAAATGAGCATGAGTGTCAATGTCTGGCTGGCACTCAGGCAGGGTCGTGACTCCAGCACCAGCAGCAAACTGCCCTGAGTTGACTTTTGAGGCGACTCAAAAGTCAACTCGTATGGGGCCACCAGCACCAGCAGCAACCTGATCCACTCCCATTCCCTCCCCTTTGCTCCCTCACCCTGCAGGGTCAGTACTGCGCTGAATGCTCACTGAGCGCCACCAAGATTGCAGGGAAGATCACAGGGAAGATCGCAGGGAAGATCGCAGGAATGATCGTTCTGTGCTTGTATGGCTGGACCAGTTTCAGCCTGCCCGTCATCCGTTCCCCTTCCCCTACTCTTACTCACCCACCCTCCCCCCACCCTGCAGGGTCAGTACTGTGCTGAAGGCTCACTGAGCGCCACCAAAAATTCAGGGAAGATCGTTCTGCGGTCGTATGAATGGGCCAGCACCGGCAGCAACCTTCGTTGATCCACTCCCATTCCCTCCCCTTTGCTCGCCCACCCTGCAGGGTCAGTACTGCGCTGAATGCTCACTGAACGCCTCCACAATTGCAGGGAAGATCCGACTTTTGAGTCGACTCAAAGGTCTTCTGTTGCGATTGTATGATTGGACCAGCACCAGGAGAAATCCCTATTCCACTCTCTTCCTCCTCCCTTTCCTCTCGCCCTCTGCCCCGACCCTGCAGGGTCAATACTGTGCTGAAGGCGCACTGAACGCCGCCAAGATTGCAGGGAAGATCGTTCTGTGCTCGTATGGGTGGACCAGCAGCAGAAGCAAGGCAGCAGAGGTTGCTGGGAAGGGCGGCAGCGCTGTGATTGTAGTGGATGTGCCTGTAACAGCCAGAACGTACCCTATTTATGAGGCTCGGCTGCCGGTCATGGGAGCAGAGGCGAGCGAGACGGGTGTTTTGCGCGCGTACACCCGCACTGCTGCCAGGTGAGGGGTTACTACACTCGCTTTCTGCGTTTAGCAAGGGTTGTCCCCTCACACGTCTGCCATACCCACAGGACACACACAGCTAAACCCAGTCCGACCCGACTTCCCCTTTCCCGCTTTCCCCCACCTCTCCTCCTACCCCTCCTCCCATCTCCCTCCCCCCCCCCCCCTTCTCTTCCGCTCCCTCTCCCTCTCCCCTCCACCAGCCTGGCTGCTTCCAATAACCACCAGTCAAGCCCACAAAGCCGCTTCTTCTGTTTTAACTCACGCTTTGAGACGTCTCAGAACCAGCCAGGCTGTTTCCAATAACCAGCAATCAAGCCCTCAAAGTCGCTTATTCTGTTTTGACTCACGAGTTCCTTCCCGTCCCTTACCCTCTCCCCGTCTTCTTCGTCTCGCTCTCTTCCCCTCTCCCCATCGCTCCCCCCTCCGCCAGCCCGACTGCATGCTTCGCCTACACTTTCAAAACAGCCTCAACCACTAATCAAGCCTTGAAATTCGCTTTTATTTCCTTCGACAAAAGAGTTTCCTCCCGTTCCCTACCCATTCCCCCTCTCCCCATCGCTCCCCCCTCCGCCAGCCCGACTGCATCCTTCGCCTACACCTTCAAAACGGGCGTAACCAGCGATCAAGCCCTCACGCTTATTCGCTTTTGACTCACAAGTTTCCTCCCCCCACCTATCCATTCCCCCGCTTCCCCCCTGTCCTTTCCTTTCTCGCCCTCCCCTCCGCCAGCCCGACTGCATCCTTCGCCTACACCTTTAAGACGGACGTAACCAGCAACCAGGTTTTGAGGAGTCTCAAAAGACAAGGCCTTGAAAATTGCTTTCGTTTCTTTTGACTTACAAGTTCCCTCCCGCTCCCTACCCATTCCCCTCTCCCCGTCGCCCCCCCCTCCGCCAGCCCGACTGCATCTTTCGCCTACACCTTCAAGACAGACGTAACCAACGATCAAGCCCCGGACGTCGCGTATTCCCTTCTGACTCACAAGTTTCTTTCCCCTATTCCACCCCTACCCCCCTGTCCTCCCTCTACCCCCCCTCCGCCAGCTCGACTGCATCCTTCGCCTACACCTTCAAGACGGACGTAACCACTGAGCACACCTTGAAAATCGCTTTCATTTCCTTTGACTCAGGATTTTCCTCCTGTCCCCTGCCCACTCCCCCTCACTCCCCCCTCCGCCAGTCCGACTGCATCCTTCGCCTACACCTTCAAGACAGATGTAACCAGCGATCAAGCCCCGGATGTCGCGTATTTCTCGTCTGCTGGTCCGCTCGTCAACCCCGCTACTGCAGCCAGCCTCTCTTTCCCCACCAACGACATCTTAAAGCCCGATATAATCGCTCCCGGCGTTTCTCTATGGGCCGCTGCGCCGTCCTCGTCTCTTGCATCTGCTTCTACCCCCGCTTACGCCATGCTTAGCGGAACCTCCATGGCTACTCCGCACTTGGCGGGAATCGCGGCGCTGCTCGTCGAAAGATACCCTGCTTGGTCGCCGTCGCAAGTCATGTCCGCGATTATGACTACAGCGAGCGTGACTAATACTAAAAACGGGTCGATCGCCGCGGGTTCGACTGGAAACAAGGCGACGCCGTGGGATATGGGAGCGGGCCACGTCAATCCTAACGGTCTTATGGACCCTGGGCTAACTTTTCCCGCCAGCGCTACGGATTATTATAACTTCCTTGCCGGGCAGAACTTGGTGAGCGCCAAAAGTTCCGTGCCAATCGGAACGAAGCTGTCGCCGATTCCAGCGTACAATTTGAACCGCCCGACGATTTCTGTCTCGCGGCTGAAAAAAACAGTGCTGGTATCGCGAACGGTGCAGAACGTTGCGAATACAGTATCCAGCTACACTTCAACTGTGGTTGCACCGCCTGGTGTTACTACAGTCGTAAGTCCTAATAAATTCACAATCCCTCCAATGCGGGTTGTAACATTCACTATCAGGTTCACAGTCGCAAAGGCGTCTCCCAGTTTCCAATTCGGAAGCCTGACATGGAAGGACCAGTTTGGCCACGTGGTGCGGTCAGTGCTGGCGGTGCAACCTCTTTCCAAATAAGGCTCAAGGATAGAGTCAGGCATCTCAAAAGGACTCTGATACCTTCCTCCTACGGCCAATGTATATTTCTACCCTCTTGAGTTATTCCCAGGTGGGACCCTAGTACGGTATTACCAATGAAGGGAATGGCTCCCTGCCTGCCCTGTGCAATTATCTGATAATAATTGGTTGTCCTGCCATCCATCCATGTCATGACATGGCCAGGCATGTTGTTTGCATAAACGAGTCGTGCTGTGCGTGTATAATGGAGTACAAAGCAAGTGAAAATCATGAACAATTGCTCGGTATCAACCACTCACAACACTGCCATACCGGATGTTTTCTCCTTTACCACTTCTCTGTGTGATGTGGTGGTGATCTCTGTAATTCTGGTTGGACAGCTGCACATACAGTGCTCCACTGAAGGAGGCTGGAAACTCTGTAAACAGCTGAAAGATCAGCATGAGCAGTTACGGAAGGAGGATGAATCAGCGTAGGTACTGAAAAAACACATCATCATTAACTCCTACCCAAATCAGGGTAAATTGGCTGACTAGTGGTAACACACGTTTCCTGTACAGCATGTATCCATCCATCAGTTCCAGCAATCATGCGCGGAAAACTACCATCACTCTGAAAAGATATCATGCTACAAGTGAGCATGGCATGTGGATGAGTCCAGAGACCTGCCAATACAAAAAGCGGGAAGCAAAAACATACCGGTATGTAGGAGCGGGAGAAACCCCCATGAACATGGCGAAACCGCTATCGGGTTTTTGAGTCAACTCAAAAACCGACTCATCACACGCGGATTATATGTAGGAGCGGGAGAAACCCCCATGAACATGGCGAAACCGCTATCGGAAAGCAAGGAATGAGGGAAAGAGGCAAAGTTCCAAGTCAACCATACAACCCTGAACCGTCTGTCTGCCTTAACATAAACCACAATCTCTGCTTGCATAACCAACGTGGAAGTGCTTTTCCCCCCATGGCACACGGCAGCGACTCTCAGGCAGCTAGGCACGAGTCAGCAGTCACTCGGCTATTCACTCAGCCAAACAAGAGCCAGCTTTCAAGTACTCTCATAAACTGCTACTCACTCGGCTTGGACAACCAGGGCGGATGCACCACCACCACCATTGCACACAGCTGCCACTCCCAGGCGCCCCTCATGCTTCCTGAGCACGCCCAGCAGCGAGACGACAATGCGAGCCCCACTGCTCCCCAGGGGATGCCCCAGCGCCACCGCCCCCCCATGCACGTTCAGACGCCCCTCGGGAATACCCAGCAGCTTCTGGTTCGCCAGAGCCACCACCTGGTGGGTGGGGGTGGGGGGTGAATGGGAAGGGTGAAATGCGGTGGAGTGCGGTGTGGAGGGGAAGTACCAGCGCCACCGGGTCCCCACGCACGTTCAGGCGCTCCTCGGGAATACCCAGCAGCTTCTGATTCGCCAGAGCCACCACCTGGAGTGGCGTGCAGGGTTGTTATGGGGCAGGTGAGGAGGTTGAGAAGGGTGACGTTCAGTGGAGTGCGGGGAGGGGCAATTAACGGCAGCCACTCGCAGCCGCTGCCCCCCCATGCTGGTTAGAGCGGCTGAGTGCATACTCGGATTGATTGTTGATAAGCACCTGGCATACGCGCATGGCTGCCTTGGATCAGCTCACCGAGAAGGCACTGCCAGCCAGCACTGGCAGCACTTGTTGACTGCTCCCACAAGTGAGTGAGCCTTTTGAGACGAGAAGTGCCAAAAATGCAGCCCCTCTCAGGTCAGACAGCCCTTCTGCCAGCCCAGAATCTCACCGAGAAAGCTTCGTTGATCTCCCAGTAATCCAGGTCGCTTTGTTCCACCCCCGCATGCTTGAGAGCCACGGGGCACTGCGAGGGGGCGACTGTTGGAGCTACGCACACGATCAACAACACAAGTGATTCGCCACTCACCGAAAAGGCTTCGTTGATCTCCCAGTAATCCACGTCGCTCTGTTCTACCCCCGCATGCTTGAGAGCCACCGGCACTGCGAGGGGGACCCTTGAGGCTGATCATACGACCAACAGCTGAATGCACCGAGAATGCTGAGGGAGCACTCGTTAAACTCACCGAGAATGCTTCGTTGATCTCCCAGTAATCCACGTCGCTCTGTTCAACCCCCACGTGTTTGAGAGCCACCGGCACTGCGAGGAGGCGACCCTTGGGCCCACCTTCACGACCAGCGACACCAGTGATTCACAACTCACCGAGAAGGCTTCGTTGATCTCCCAGTAATCCACGTCGCTCTGTTCAACCCCCATGTGTTTGAGAGCCACCGGCACTGCGAGGAGGCGACCCTTGGGCCCACCTTCACGACTAGCGACACCAGTGATTCACAACTCACCGAGAAGGCTTCGTTGATCTCCCAGTAATCCACGTCGCTCTGTTCAACCCCCACGTGTTTGAGAGCCACCGGCACTGCGAGGAGGCGACCCTTTGGGCCACCTTCACGACCAGCGACACCAGTGATTCACAACTCACCGAGAAGGCTTCGTTGATCTCCCAGTAATCCACGTCGCTCTGTTCAACCCCCACGTGTTTGAGAGCCACCGGCACTGCGAGGAGGCGACCCTTGGGCCCACCTTCACGACCAGCGACACCAGTGATTCACAACTCACCGAGAAGGCTTCGTTGATCTCCCAGTAATCCACGTCGCTCTGTTCAACCCCCACGTGTTTGAGAGCCACCGGCACTGCGAGGAGGCGACCCTTGGGCCCACCTTCACGACCAGCGACACCAGTGATTCACAACTCACCGAGAAGGCTTCGTTGATCTCCCAGTAATCCACGTCGCTCTGCTCCACACCCGCATGCTTGAGAGCCACTGGCACTGCGAGGGGGCGACTGTTGGAGCTAAATCATACGAATAACAGCAGCGTGCACCCTGAGAATGCTGAGGGACCGCTTGCAAAGCTCACCGAGAAGGCTTCGTTGATCTCCCAGTAATCCACTTCGCTTTGCTCCACCCCCGCATGCTTGAGAGCCACGGGCACTGCGAGGGCGGGCGCCGTGGTGAAGCGGCTGGGTGCTTGCTCCGCGTCCCCGAAGCCCCTCAGCACTGCCAGCACGTTCAGCCCGTGCTGCCTGGCGGCTTGGCGGCTTGCCAACACCACTGCTGCTGCCCCGTCGCTGAGAACGATGGGAAACAGAAGGGAAACAGTTGAGGTTGGAGTGCGGTTGTGGCATGATGATGGTTGCAGAAAGCGAGGATGACTAGATGTAGAGAGAAGCCAGATGCCAAAGGCAGGGGAAGAGCTAGGGGTTTTTGAGAATTCTCAAAGGCAGGGGAAGAGCTAGGGGTTTTTGAGAATTCTCAAAGGCAGGGGAAGAGCTAGGGGTTTTTGAGAATTCTCAAAGGCAGGGGAAGAGCTAGGGGTTTTTGAGAATTCTCAAAAGGCAGGGGAAGAGCTAGGGGTTTTTGAGAATTCTCAAAAGGCAGGGGAAGAGCTAGGGTACTTCATTCAATGACACAAATACTTCTCCCTTCGACATTCCAAGACTTTTGCTATCCGGAATGGTGTCCCCAGCTGGCGTACCTGATGGCTGAGGCGTTGCCAGCTGGCGTACCTGATGGCTGAGGCGTTGCCAGCTGGCTTACCTGATGGCTGAGGCGTTGCCAGCTGTGACGGTGCCGTTCTCCTTGAAGCATGGGCGCAGCAGGCGGAGCTTGTTTGCGTCAAACTGGCCGTCGGAAGGAGAAAGAGGGAGGGTTGGGCAGCGAGCAGAGGGAGGGAGACAATCAGTGGAGTAGGAGGTTGGTGTGGTGAGTAGCGTCCAATGCTGTAAATGCACTGGAAGCATGGGCGCCAAAGGCGAAGCTTGTTGGCATTGACCTGGCCGTGGGAAAGAGGGAGGGACGGGTGGTGCAAAGGGAGGGAGGGAGGGAGGGAAGGAGGGATGTAAGGAGGGAGGGAGACAGTTAGCCGAGTAAAGGCTTGGTTGTTCTGGGTAGGTTCCAACACACTTAGGTGGAAATCAGTACGAATAACTGAGGGGGGGTGGAAAGAAACAAAGCACATGAGAAAAGCGAAGAAGCGGATTCAAGGCGAGGGAAGGAAGGAAATGAGATGCACGAGTACTTAAAAGCAAGGTACCAGATACAACGAACACATGGAAACAAACAAACAGATGCTCCAAGGTCAAAACAAACAGATGCTCCAAGGTCAAAACAAACAGATGCTCCAAGGTCAAAACAAACAGATGCTCCAAGGTCAAAACAAACAGCAACATACTCTGAGGGTTCCAAGAACCCCCACTCGAAAGGTTCAAGTCAAGTACCTACTCCGCTCCTCCTTTTCAAGAAAAGTAGAGCTTCGGGCTCCCTATCAGTCCCTCCCATAGTACCCATCACAACACCCTTTCCCACACTACGCACACACCCTTGCGCACACCACACCACACCACACCACACCATACCCCCTTTCCCACATACACACCCTAAGCCACACTCCCGTTCCAACACCACTCGCCCTTCCACACACCCAACACCCCCCCTTTTCCCTGCATCTCTGTCCCAAAGCACCTACCTTGGCACACGGTTCGTCCCGTTCAACAAGAATCGTTTGCTTCCCCTTCGAGGCCTTCACCTCCACCTGAGCCATGGAACGAGGGGAGGGGGTGTAGGGGGTGAGGGGGAAGGGGGTTAGGAGGTGGGTTGGGGGGGAAGCAACAACCAACTTCGAGTCTTCACCTCCACCTGAGACACATTCGCTCATGCATATTAGGCACTCCCTCACACACTCCCTCACACTCACCAACTCATGAATGCCCTCACGCTCCTCCTTCACTCCCACCCCCCCACCCACTCACGCACAGACACAATCTCAGCATGGTCAGCATGAGCAGCATGAGCAGCAGCTTTCCCTCACACTCTCCCTCACACTCTCCCTCACATACTCCCTACTTCACTCCCCCTTACCCACTCACGCACAGACACTCCCAGTAAAAAAACGCCATCAGAATGGGCAGCAGCAGCCTTATTTCTTGGCTTCACACTC